TAGAATATTTTTTAGTACTCTGTGTAGGCTTGGTTTGGTCATCATGAATTTCTTTAGCTATTATTTGTAATGGAAGTATTTCATATCTCCATTAAACTTGAAAGAGTTTTTCAGGGTATATCTGGGTTGGAATTTGTTTCCTTGTAGTCCTTGAAGTACACTGCTCCATGCTCTACTTAACTTGATGGTTTGTGAGGAGAAATATGCTGCTATTCTGATGGGTTTTCCTTTAAATGTGATCTGTTTCTTTTCCCTGGTGGCTTTTATTTATATATTTTTTATGTATTTAAGACAGTGTCTACAGGGTGTATAGTGTCTCACTATGTAATTCAGACTTGTAGTGATTCTCCTGTTTTCAGCCTCCCAAGCACTGGGATTACAGGCATGCACTACCTCACCTAGTCTCAATCGCTGTCTCACTATGCCCCTAGGGCAGGGCTGGCCCTGCAGGCTGGAGAATTGAACCCTGACTACTGCATTCTGCCTAAGCAGGTGCTTCAGTCTTCTGAGCTATTTGGTCAGCCCTTCTAGTGGCTTTTAGTGTGTTTTTCTTACTCTGACTTTCTGGGATCTTGATTATCATATGTCTGGGTTTTAGTTTTAATTAGGTTAATATTATTTGAGGTTCTATATGCCTCAGTTATCTGAATGTCAGATTGTTGCCCCATATTTGGGAAGTTTTCTGCTATTACTTCTTCCCATATTCTTTTTACGTCATTTGTATTGCCTCCTTTTTTCTCACACTGATGCCTATTAGTCTTATGTTGTTCATCTTTGCAACTATATTGCAGCTGTTGAATTATTATTTCCTGGATCCTAGTTGTTTTTAGGAGATCTTTCTGCACCTTTTCACTAGTTGCAATGGTATCTTCAAGATCTGAAAGTCTATCTTCATTTTCATTCAAATGGTTTTGCCAACTTTTGAGTTTTAATTTCTTGCATATCTCTTTGAATCTGCTTCATGCATTATATTTCTTTCCTATATTGCTCACTCAAGGTTTCCATCATTTTTCCATTCTCCTCTATTTTTTAATCAGTGTATTCTTTAGAAACTTAGTGATTCTTTCATTATAGTTATCATTTCTTTTTTTAACCTGTGAGATTATATCTGATCTGATTTCCTCTATACCCTTCTGCAGTTGTTTCTTTACTTCAGTTGCTATTATTTCAGAGATTTCAAGTATGCGGCTTCCAGTTTCTTCTATGCTGATGTCTCCTGGGTTTGTTCTGGGTAGGTTCAGGGCCCGAGATTACATTTTGCTCTTCCTTTTTGTCATTTTCTATTTCAGAGAGAACTCTTTATTTTGATTTCTGCAATATCTTTTTGTGAAAGTTTGATAGCAGGTAGCTGTATCACTGCTGTCACAATCTCTCTATAAAGAGTGGGGGGGGTGTTTTGTTTTGTTTTTTGTATCTGTCATGTGTTATGTGTGTGTCCCAAGATTTTGCCTTCTCTACTGATGGAGAGTGAGATATTGATTTTTGTTTGGCACTATCCTTGGTCCTTCAGTGTAAGGCTTTGGTGAGGTTATTACCAAATAACTTCTTAATATTATTACCCAAGGGAGAACATGTGGTTAAGGTAGATATCATTTCCTATTTATAGTAGTACAATTAGCAATACTATTAACACAGTGACGTTTAGAAATTGACAGATTTTGTAACTAATGGGTTTGTACTTTAGACTATAGGAGCAAACATCATAGCTGTATAACAAAGCAGATCTTAAATTAGGAATTTGTATTTAAATTAGTTCTCCTAAGTTCTGTCTAGTCACCTCCCCTTTGTACACCTGGAGTCTTTCAAGAAGTCTAGTTTACTCCAGTTACCTACTGCCACCTCTGTGCTGTGAGGATGTTCTTGTAGGTCTGGGCCTTGGTCTGAGCTCTGCTGGGCCCACTAGTAGCCTCAGCTCACCTGGCCTAGATCTACTGAACTTAACTGGCCAGACCTGGCTTGGATCTGGATGCTGTGTTTGGCTCCTTCCAGCTGAACCCCATACAATTGGACTTCTGGCCACCACTGGCTGTCTGTCCCGCAGCTTCTCCCCGCAGGACTGGAAAGGTGGAGTGAGTCCTCTGGGCCAAGGTGTTTAATGTAAATGAAGTCAATTTTATCAAGTTTTCTTTTTTCTTTTGAGTTTTATGTTTTGGTCATCAGGCCGGAGTTGTTAGCTCAGTGGCACAAGCCCCTGTATAGCAAGCATCATGTCCTGAGTATAGTTCCCAGTACCAAAAACAAATTTTAAAAATAAAAATAGAAAGTCGCAAGTCACCTAGATTTTCTCTGATATTATCTTGTAAGGGTTTTTAAGTTTGCATTTTCTGTTAAACCCTATGCTCCACTTTGAATTAGATTTTGTGAAAGGCATAAAGTTTGTTTCTAGATTCATCATTTTTCATAACCAATTTGTGTTAGTCAGCTTCCCATTACTATAACAACTACATGGAAGAACCCATATAATAATAAGTTAATGCTTTGGTTCATGATCTTAGAGATTTCAGTCCATGGCCAAGCAGTTCTGTTGCTTTGAGGCTTGGGGCAAGACAAGAAACACAAGTGAAGCATAGCTAACAGTGAGATACCAAAATCCCTTCCAGGATATACCCTAAGGGATCAGAAGACCTGTCCAATCATCTCTCTTCTTAAGTTTTCATCTCCTAATGTAACAGCAATATACCAACCAGTAAACTTCAGTTGCTTAGTTTTCCAGGTAATACCTATTGCTGTTCCCAATGGTTTTGTCTCCTAGAAAAGGCTGCTCACTGCGAGGCAAAGCTGATCACTATAATCATATCTTAAGAACCAATCCCCAATTGAAGAGCCACTCTGCCTCTGTACTTTCTGCTTGCTTATCCCATATAAGCCCTAGACCACCAGAGATCAGGGTCCTATATTTGGGGAGCAATCCCAACCAGTGCCCATGGACATAAAATAAATCTGCTTCCAAATACTGGGTGCCATGTCAATGACTCTGCTTGCCATTGTGCTATTGAGTGTGCTGGCTGAAAACTAAGCCTTTAGCACATGTGCCTTCAGGGACAATTAAAGTCCACAATGTAGCACAATTGCTCTAGCAATTGTTTATTGGAAAGGCTGTCTTTTCTCCATTGTCTTTCCTGCTTTGTCAAAGATCAGTTAATATATAAATGGTAATGAAAATATATGATGAATAAATTTTTAAAATCTTATAACACTAAAAGTTGTATGGGCATGAACCTGCCTCAAAATACCCCACCCTCACTTTGTGTCCCATTTTTCTTGCCCTCTTCCAAGCAGTTTTGGAAGTCCTTTTTCTGGAATGTCTTTACTAGATGTGATCAAAAATACAGTGAATGCTGCTGCCAAGGGCTATTTGATAGAAAGACAGACTCAGGAAATCAGTGTGTCCTCATTCACCTTATTCACCAGATCTGGCACCATGAAACTTCTGGCTCTTCCCCAAAGTCAAAAATGAACATGAAAGAGAACTATTTTGAGTGGATTTAGGCAATGGAGGTAGCCATGACAGCTCAGCGGAAGACACTCACAAAAGAGAACTTCCAGAACTATTTTAAAGAGTGGCAAGAATGATGAGCTAAGTACATTCAAAGGAAGGAGGAGTATTTTGAGGGGGATTAATGGCAATGTGTCTTAGACTATAATAAATTTTTTTAAACATTTACCATATGCTTTGATCATACCTCACTTGGTACGGATATATTTGAATTCTCTATTTTGATATTTGTCCAATTTAACAAGCATAGTTACCATGTTGATGTGTTTCTGTTTTTAATATATATTCATATATAGTATTCATGCAGAGGTTACTTCTACAACTTCTCTAAAATGGTGGTTGAGCTGAACTGCATCACATGCCTATAATCCTGGTACTGTGGGAAGCTAAAACAGGAAGTGAGCCCATCTTGGCAATTTAATGACTTAGCAAGATCTTATCTCATAGTAAAAAATATAAAGGGCAGGGGATGGAGCTCACTGTGAAGACACTGGGTTCATCCCTAGTGCAGGGTCGGCGGGGAGCCTGTAGATGCAAACATTTCCAATATTGGATGTCTTTTGCAAAGAGCCAGAGTCTCAGATGAATTCTCTTTGCATCTAACGGGCCTTGTGGGAGTTCTGCTGGGCCACATGAGAGGCAAAGCTGTGACACTTCTGATGATCACCCCTGTGCCTAGCCTATAAAAGAGCATCAGCAAATGTGAGACTCATGGATGAAAATGTTCCTTTTTTTGCCCCATGCATACAAGTAATATGAGTCTTCCTCCTCTTCCTCTTCCTCTTCCTCCTCTTCCTCCTCACTTTCCTGAAAGACCAGAAAAGTGCAAATGGTTCTGGAATGGCCAGCATGTTTAGTGCATTTACTCCCTCTACTTAAAAAGATTTTAACTTTTCCGTTTTAGTACTGTTAACATTCAGAATATACATATATTTTAGTGAAACTTACTTAATTCAATTTTCGGGGTTTCCAGGGTACAATTAATAGACAAGCATACTAAGAATTGTCTTCCCTTCTACCTACTATGAAGCGTGTTGAATTAGCAGGGCTTGGGGTGGAGTAGCAGTAAGAAGGAAAGACCTGCGGAGGAGCAGGGGTGAGGGGTGATCTGCATAATATTTCCAAAACCCTGCTTCAGACCAGAACACGCCAAGCCTGTACAACCCAATAAGAGGTTTTATTGACAAGAGAATTATTTTCACAGAGGTTTAGAAAACTAGTAAATGAAGGGTCAAGGAGAGAACCTATTTATTCTAAGTTTGGTTCATTCGTTCAACACTGAGTAGCTCTAAGGCATTGTTGCAGCTTCAAAACCGTTACAACTTTTCTATGGATCTCCTGTGATGCAGGAGAGCGGCGGATTAAGAAGCAACCTGCTGCTGTAGATACTAACCACAGAGATTGTCGGCGACCGAATCCTCCGCGGGCCCAGGCCCAGACCCCGCCCCTTTCGCATCAGGCCCCGCCCCGTCTCCGCCCATAAGGTCCCGCCCGCGGTGCTTTTCGGGGGTAGGCTCTGAGGCTGCCCCTATAGGCGAGCGAGCTACAGCATCGAAAGCATCTCGCTGTGCTCTGGACAAAGTCCCAGGGACAACCTGGGATCCTCCCTAAGCGGCCACCACCGGGCCTCACGGCCCGCTTTGCCACTGTCCGGTCTTGTTCTGCGCTGCCAAACGTCGTCGCCGGCCGCCACTGCTGAAGAGATCTCCACCCCGGTGAATCCCAGGCTGCTGTGCAGACGCCGGCCCTGGTGGGGGACCTAGAGGCGGAGCAGAGAGGTAAGGCCGGGAAGCGCACGCGTGAGGATCGCAGCACAGCACAGCAAGGCCGCCCGCTGCAGCCTCTTCCCGGAATCGCCTTCCAGTTTCTTCTGCACCGCGGGAATCGGCCTCCTCCTACCTCCGCTCCCGGGTCTGAGTTTCTAGCTGTGCCCCGCGACACTTCCTGTGTGGCCTTGGGGACCAGACCCCGACCCTGTCCGGCCCTGGGCCCTTGTTTCTTGTGGGAGAGAGGTCTTAGAGGACAACCCCCGACGGAATTCTCTTAGATCTTACAAGCTGGGGGTGAGGGGCTGCGGGGACAGAGGAGTGGGCCCCTCTCAGGACCGGGAGGGATGAGATAATGGGAAAATTCGTGGCAAATACTGGAAGATGCTCATAGTTAACCTTTCTACAGAGAGCAGATCGGTGGCATGAAGTAGGAAGGCAGTTCCACTTACATGTTTATTTCGCTAACAATAGTTTCTTCGGAAAACTCTAGATATTCCAATTCGTTTTGTGGTGTAATGTTTGTTTGATCTCATTTTGTTTGGCAGGAGGTCTTAGAAAGGAACAGCTCTGAGAGACTGGTCAGAGATTACTGCCCCCAAGTCCTGGCGGACCCCCCGACCCCCAAGTGAGGTCAGGAGCCAGGGGCTTAAAAGCCCTCCATGCCCTTGCCCCCTGCCGGGCTAGTCATCTGTTCATTCATGGCGGGGGAGGGAAGCAGCAGAGTCCACATCAGAGTCTGCAGTAAGAAATATCTTGCAAATGTCACTAGCCATTCAGGCCTGCTTGCCAAGTGGTGATCTCTTGTCTCAGGAAGTGGCTTGAACTTTTAACTGCTATTGTTTACCAGTTATTCTTCAATTTTCAATCATCCAAAGCACATGACTCTTTTTGTTGTCATTAAACCTTCTCCTGCATTTATTTCAAAATTAAAGAAAATCTGCCTGGGTTTTAATTCTTATTTGACAAATGGTAACTTGCCTTTAAAAAAATTTTAAAAATTTAAAAAAAAAAAAACCTGACCGGAAGGACCATAGCCCAAGAGGAAGTCTCTTAGAAGTAAAACTCGTATTAAAATATATATTCCGTCACTCACACTTGCCCACACAGGGCCATCTTCCTGTTACCCTTATAAACCTTCAGACTGTTGAAATCGATGACAGATACATTCTTTGAGATCACCTTTTATATTTTGCAAGATTAATACCCAAACTAAAGTGCCACTGACTATAAAGCACATTGTTAATGTATATAACTAAGTAAGGAAAAGCCTTGTCAGCCACAGTGTGACATGCCTCTGTACAAAACATTCCGATTTTGAAAATGTACAAATGTGAAAAGCAAAAGTACATTTTTTTCATTCATGAACTACTAGCAAGCTAGTATGCAGCTTGGCATTACCTCAGTTCTCCTTATCTGCGGTCACACATCTGCAGGTTCGGCCAACGGTCTGAGCTGAACATGTCCAAACTTTTCTCCTTGTCATGGCCCCCTAAATAATACATATACTAGCAATTTACAAAGCACACAATAGCAGAAGTAATCCAGAGACAACAGAGTGCACAGGGAGGAGATGGGTAGGCTCTATGCAAACGCTCCATCTTTTAAGTAAGAAGTCTGAGCACTGTGGAATTTGGCCTTCTGAAGAAGGGAAGTCCTGGGCCCAGCCTTCAGGGCACCCTGAGGAATCACTGCGCTTTCCCAGAAGGCTCCTCCTTCCTTTAAGTTTTCACCGAAACTAGCAATGTGCAGTCCAGGGAGGAATGAAAGAAGAGTAGTTGCTTAGCAGAGGAGGCTGGCAGCCTGGAGGGTGCTGAGAAATAGAGAAGAAAGAGCAAAAGGAGAAAGCAGAAAGGTCTCTCGATGGGAAGCAGATGGTTGGGGCCACAAAAATGTGCCCTGGAGCCAGCAGAAGAAGGAGCACACCTCCTCCCCCACATCCAGGGTGCTTGCAAATTAGAGGTCCTTAAGGTTGGTGTTTGATTTTTCGCTTCTCTGTTTATTTGTTTAACTGTGAGGTTTAAGAAATATATATA